GGACAGAAAAATAGCGAGCCCTCGGGTCCAGCTGATCGGATAAATGAATCCCATCGTCGGACTCTTTAAAAGCTTGTTTTAAGGGGGTCGAAAGTGGAAGGGGAGGTGTCGAAAAGTTCCAACGGTGAATTTTAACCCAGAAGCGTTCGCCGAACAAGAGTCTATAATAGGCTCCTTGTACCGCTTTTTTACCTGCCGTCGCTGCTTTAGTGGCCACTTTATCACGGTGTGGTCGTTTCGTTTCAAGTGGATTGTTCTGCATCCGACGCATTGCTGCGGGTGGCCACGGTTTATAGTCGGGGTTATTACGATCAAACCTGATTGTGAAGGATGCTGACGGCACTAGACGACGGCCAGTGTGAGGCATTGCAAGTTACAGTTGTCGCTATGTGATAAAAGGTAACGTTTTAACCACCGGGGGGAGGGGGGCGGCGTTTGGGGACGAATGCGCGGGAAACAATGAGGTCTCATCGCCCAGAAAGGCAAGATTTTTTAGAATTTCATAGAATTTAGAAGATTTAACAGAAAAAAGATTTTGCATCTTCAAAGTCAATCTAAACTTAGCATTCGTGACAATAGAATGCTAAGAAAGCATCTCGAATTGCTATCAGATACCGGGAAAAATGGCCTCGAATACAAAGGGTTAACCTTTTGCGATCTTATGTCGAGTGAAGCTCGACAAAAATGTAGTGAAATCAGAAAATTCGGAATGCAAAGGGTCAAATCACTGTACCAGTGGCCCAATCCTCGTAAAAGACCCTATGAGCGTAAAATCTGTCACCTGTCATCCCCTCAAAATATGTTCAATCCCTGTCTCCACGTTTTTACCTGTTTTCGTTCTTTTTCATCCTTTTAACCAAGGGCATGGGTGTGTCGATGAAGTAATTACCAACGAAATTAATTGCTCCAATAAATAGATGGGGAAACTTGTTCCATCGCGGGGCCAGAATGGGCAAGTTTTCCAATTTTCCCACGCTCGGTTGTGAAACGAGGGAAAGGCGGGATGCGGCGCAATATCGTGTACATCTAGGATCAGTTTACGGTTCCTCGTACACAACTGTTTTGCCCTAGCTGCGGACTGAAACGAATAAGCAATAAATAACGGGGCGGGCGCGGACACCGGTAATGCTCTGCTAAACGTATATACGCATTACTCTGCTCGGTGGAATAACGTTTTCTCGCTGATAATGCAGAACAGGAGATGGTAAATTCTGATGACGTTCGCCTAGGACCTGGAAAGGAGAGACGAACCGGATGAAAAACGAAAAAAGACAGGCCGGGAGGGCAAATGATGGATCGAAATTCTGCAATTTTCTCCCTCGACTCGGCGGAAGTAGTGCATACGCTGGCCTAGCGCGACGCTAACTTTTCCAACGTGATTCCCAGGGCTGTTTTACGCCGGTCTTTTCGATGGAAAAAGTCGAAGTTGCTGCGAAAATTTGTCTATAGGGTGTACCGTTTCATATAAGTTTGTCTTAGAATGAGAGCAATCAGCGTGCGTCCCGGACGCGAGCGTGGTTTGACCCACGTTGAAATCCTGGCGAGGAGACGTCCAAGGGTGGACTAATTGACCCGTTCATTGCACAAATCGATTAAACTCCATAAAACATGAAGTTTAGAAATGCGATGAAAATGGCCTCCGAAATAAATTATTTATTATTCAATGATCGAAAAAGTTTTGTCGTTTAATGATGTTCATCTTTATTATTCAGGAATATTATTATAAATATAAAAAGTTAACTATACCAAGGGCTTCGACACTTAAATTTAAGATTTTTCGAAAAGTGAAGTTTTTTCCAAAATTGAGCAATGAACGGCTTAATGCGAAGTTGATGAATATTGTAGTTCATTTCGATAGCGGATATTTCGGTGCGGATATTATAAAAATTGAATTTTCCAAATGCATATGATAATCGAATATAATATTTCTACTGAAATAAATCAGGACCCAGTACACGTGAGATTTTCCGTTTCCAAGACATTGTACATAATGACCCGTGTTTTATGCTTGAAAAGAAATCTAAAGGGAAATGAATTATTATCGCGGGAAGATTGCTTTGAAATTCACGCAACTCGAGGCATTTCTACTTTTAAACTGAAACATCGCACGCGAACCGGCCGTTAATTCAAATAAATACATCCGTTATTTTATAATACCAGCTCTCGAACTGGTGGCATTTCGAGAACGTAAACACGCCGACTTTCTCGCGTCCGCCGTATTTCACACGCTATTCAACCACGAGGGCAATCAAAAAGAATGATAATCGACGCAGATTCAGTCATTAAAAATTTCCAGCGAATCGTCACGATTCTATGACCCTCGTCGATCGTTTTTCCAGCCAAGATTCATTGCGGTGGAACTCGCAGTGTCAACATTACGCTCGGGTGAAAAAGAGCTTTTGCTTTTGAATTATGCCTGCTCAATAACGTCAGCATTGGAAAATACCGATGTGTATGAGGTCTGTTGGCCTATTAACGAGAGGATTTTTTTCACTGACGAAAACAGCGGTTGGAACATAAAGAAGCTTTCCTCCTCCCCGGGTCAGACGTGACCCATCAGGGGTTGTATATTAATCGTCCAAGTGAATAATCTCTAGTTCCCATGACTGGTGAAGTTTAGTCCTAATCTGTATACGATCCTCAAGGGTGGTTACTGTTTACACGTGTAAATCCATCCTCTAACACAAGGGCAGTGTTAACCAACACCAACGTCAACGAGGCCTCGCAAACGCGCAATTGTATGCCCCTAACAACGCAACGGAATCCTGAGTGTGCTTGGAACTCCGTGAGAACTTACTGCGTCGGAAAGCGCAACCCTCGTTCTTACCCCCTTGTAACCCTCTTCGCGATACTTAGGTTTAACCGTAAAACAAGGCGCGCGCGATGTATCTGCATGCTCTTATACACCAAAACCTACTTTCGCATGCTCTACACTCCTGGTTAAGTGCTCTAAATTATCCGAGCACCTGCACAAGGGCGGATGTGCACGTGAAGTGTGCGACGGTCGATGAATTTTCTCGATGTTTTTTGGGCGGAAAAAAATTTCCTTCACAAAGGCCGACCTAAAAACAGGGAATATTAATCGCGCGACGCCGGCGTACGCCACTTCGGGCGTCGTTGGAAATTTTGTCGAACAAAGGGCGGTTATTGTCGCGGGCCATGTTTGGCAATTTCTGAAACCGGCTGGATCGAGAAGAAAGAATTTAAAAGAATAACGAAGTTGGAAATTTGTTTGTTGGTAATTTTCTAGCGATCCGAGTATACGTCTCGAGTATTCCTCTCTCGACTACCCCCAGAAGGGTCCGTTTACATTCACAATTCGGTGGAACCCGCAGGAATGGGGTGATAAGCTCCAGGATGGGATGCAAGTTTCATAGAATCGTCAAAAGACGCAAACACGGAGATCTGAAAGTCTGGGATTGCCCCCATTCGTCAGGGAAGCGAGGATCCGCCATTTGATGCACGACGAGGCGAAGCACGAGGCAATACGTGTAAATATCGATGGGGACGCTGGGAGTTGAAGACTTTGGGAAACTCGTATACAAAGGCACGGATCACCTTGTACTTGTCAACCGAATAATTTAGTTTAGTGCCCCTCCTACCCCCGCTCATAACCCCGGGGAACTTATTTTCCATGAAAAAGATATAAAGTTTGTCCTCCTTCGAGCTTTCAGGGTGCACGTTACACGCGGCTGATGACTCCGACGGTACACACAGCTCGCAAAGTTTATGCGACTCGGCGGTGAAGTTATATTCGAAGAACTTCGAGGGAAATCATATCGCTGCTGAGTATCATGTTCGGGATATACAAATAATCTGTTCGAATAGCGACAGAGAACACCGCCGCTACCTTTATTACGTATATTTCGCCCCCTTGGTCTATAAAACTTTTGTGCGAAGTAAAATCTTACATCCGTGCTTCGCTCGCGAATATTCACGTGCAAGGCGATGCTGCGCATCGTTTGTGAGGTATAAATCCAATTTAAGGAGGGAAAGTAGATTGGAGTATATATGTATTTAAGTGTACTTGAGAGGGGAACAGTGTTTTTACCGTTGGTGAAAAACATGATACCTCGAGGAATTCATTTGGGAGATACTAAATATTTCGTGTAAATGTTTGATTTGTGGAGGCACATATTTTTTAGAATATTTCAGGTAATTTTCATAAAGATATATTAATTTTGTAGAGAAAGTACAGACGACTTTCAGATAAAGAATAACCATAGAAATAAAAATGTTGTTTGTTGATGAATATATGACAGGAATATTCCAGGAGTTGTTATTAAACCAGTATATTCAAATTTGATGATATATTTATCTTGATTTTGATGAAAGTATCATTAAACACATCCCCGATAAGTGAGCTACCATATTGCCTGCAATGTAGTCAATTATACGCTGGAATTAAGCAATTAAAAGCCAACGTTCTGGAAATTTAAATATTTTCATTTTAATTGTAAACAATTTCGGTGGCGTTAATTTAATTGTTAACATTCGAACGTTTCGCATTTTATTTTCGATTTACTTTACATTAAAATCAGTTCAAAAATTGTAAAGGTATTAGTAAAGGTATTTCGGTTCTTTTAATTAATAAACTGAGTGAAGTCTAAATAAAGTGATGTAATCATAAAGAAAATTAAATAAAATCATAAAAATTACATGTATTTTTATTTTAAACTTTCAAAAACCTGTAATTTCTAAAAATTCACAACGCTTCCTCCAAGATGGCACAAACATTTGAGACGTCGTTTCAATGAAATAAAAAATACATCATCTCGCCCTCGGGCGCCGAAACAACGACTAATAAATTGCAAGCGGTCGCTTTTTCTTGCTTATACGTTCACCTCGTTTCGCCCATTGGAGTCAATCCGTTGAATTATCTGCGAAGGAGACTCACGTGCCAAGTGAGTAGTCGAAGACGATAATCGGCATGGGACGTTATTGATTGTGGGAAAAGGGGAGGGGGGCAATAAATCGACGACATAAAATGATGTACTTACTCGTAGCGCTGACAGCTGGTCCAATGACCGAGTACTTGGGGTTACCGGTAACGGCCCCTGGGATGACCTTGTCCAGCTCTGAAATACATTATTGTAATTATCCTCGGAATATACAGTGCCGTTAATTACAATTGGGAGTCGCGTGTGCGAATGGAACACGGCCAATTTACCCTAGCAAAGGATCCCTATCCATGATTTATCGCCTCATAAATAGCTAGGGACGCTCGAATGCCACTTACTTCTTATCCACTTCGTCCAAGACACGCGAGAGAGACCCTAATCATTCCAGTTGCATTATTAACAAAAACGGTACATTATTTTCCCTAGTTGGACGCGTGGAAGTCGCGTAGATTTCGAGGGATAGTTAATTTAATTGGTACCGTTTAGCCATAATTAGGCCAGCAACGCGTAAAGAGGCCCATTTAACAGGGGATACCAATGTTATCCTCCGCGTAATAACGAACTTATGCAAATCGCCGACGTTTCACTGGTAACGCGTTCCCGGATACCAGAAACACAAAAGCTTCGCTGGTATAACTCGACTCGGGTGGAAGTTTAAAGGAATTATCCGGGAAGGTAACTGACGGGTGGATAAATAGAAAAATAGACGGTACGTGAGGTAACTCGAGGCTCTGTTTTACCTACAGGATCGTCGTCGCGGAGGAAAGCTTCGCGAAAGCTCAGCTTCGGTGCGCTTTCTCTTCCATTTGCAGCGGCGACGCTCAGCGTCAAGCTTGCGAAGCTGTTCCAAGGACATACTATTTTACCGACGGAAGAAATCCATAAAAAAAAGTATGACGAACTTCTGCATCGGAGTAAAATAAACTTGTACGACAATTTACGTGACCTGTCGAGCAGCTGGGTGAAAACTTTCCTTAACAATCAACCGTTAAAGCAATTAAGATACTCGAGTTACTGAAAAGGAATAACGATCCTTGCTGCAAGGTACTTGGCGTGTCTGGATAGTGAAATGGGAGCTTTATTATTTTTATATAGTTTACGGAGGTGTTTGTGAAATGAAATTTAGTAGAATGTGAATTGAAAGATTTTTAGAAGAAAGATCGGAGAGAAAATTAATTGTTGGTGGTAGTATATTGCAATTAGTGCTAAGATAGGGTGAGCTGGCTCCTGGCACAGGACATATTTTCAAATCGAATAAGGCACTCCTGCAGCAGCCTTAAAAAGAATTTCTCATTTTCGTTATTAGTTATGTGGGGCAGCCAGTTCGTGCATTACGATGATTACCATGACCAATCAGTCCTAATTTCCAACTGGCAAATACAATCCTCGCTTGGAACGCAAGTGATTCTATTTTTCCAGCAACTCTGTATATACAGGGTGGTACCTCAATTTTGGTGTGATCTGGTATATATTGACACTTCATACTTAAGAAAATAAGAAATATGAACTAAATCTGTATGACTTTTTGTTATCGAAGAAGACAATTTTGAAAATTTATTGGATATTACGAGTCTCGAGGCAGAAGATTTTAGTACAGCGTTCGATTAGAATGGTTTTGTAAATAAACACGAGTCAGTTGCTATCCAAGATTAATTCTGTTAGAGCAATTATCAAAAATTTATTTTTACTTTGAGTTTGAAAGAAGAAGCCTAGGTTTCCACGTTTTGCCACACTTTCTGGGACACCCTGTATTAGAAATTCAATTAATTGAAAGCGGATGCGATCGGGGTCCACAAAGGATACAGAGAACTCTAGTAGGTTGGACTCGATAGAAACTGACGTAGGGTTAGAGGAGATTGCGGAAAGTGACCAAAGCGAATCCTCTTTCGTTTGAACTGCGGAAATTGAGCAATGAAAAATGGACAACATCCAGAAGGGGTTGATCAGTGCAGTGGTAGGGGCGCATCCTGTCATGGCAACTCGAGATTACGCTTTATTTATTTCAACTTTGGTTGTCGTTGCTATAAAAGCGTCTCTGGTAAAATTGTATTAGATTCTAGCAGCAATTGTGGTTCAAGGGGCTTTTAAGTACTCATGCATTGTAACTCTAAGAATGATGATGAAACTAGCTGCTCTTACTAAATGAACAAAATAAAAGTGGCACACTAGGAATGAGATTCCTATATTAGTTCATGGTCTTTGAATCATGGTTGATTATACACAATCTAATCTCGGTACTCCACGGCGAAATATGGTGGAATGATACGCACTTAATATTCAAGAGGAGCCTTTTGATGATCCCATAACTTTGGTATTCGGAGTAGCTACAACTCCCTAGTATATCAGAGAAGCATGAATCAAGTTCTTGATAGTATTACATGAGACTATAGCAGCGAACTCAAGAGAAAAGCTCCTAAACACTTCAAGAGTAGGGTCTAAGGAGGTCCTCGAGTACTCAAGCCTTGCGAAAGGGTTATTAATACTATGTCAACAATCCCTGATCGTGGTACACCAGAGATGAAATCTTGAATTAGTTTATAATCCTCGAATCAAGATTGATCTAGGCTTTGTAGCCTCAATACTCCAACGCTACATACACAGTCTGCAATCAGGAGGACCCTTGGAGGATCTTGAAACCCTACTTATAATCTTGGTCGTAGAATTCATCAGTTTTTCTCTCAAATTTTTTAAGTTCCTCGTCTCTGTTTCTCGGTTTGGCGACCAAACCGAAATACAAAAGAAAAGCAAAGGAGTGGGTGTCTATGTACACTAACGCGGATCAACTACCCACCAGGATGCGGTGCGTCGTCCAACGGCTGGAACTGGAACATCGCCTTGAACCCTTGGCCAGGCCACTCGGAATTAGCAACGAACTCGACGTAGAGGTCTGGCCCTGTGCTGAGTACCTCCACTTCCGCTCCTTGGTTGCAGAGTACAGCTATTGTGGGCGCCCCGGAATCCGTTCCGTCGTGCACTCTGATCAAGTCCGCCCTATTTAGGCAACTGTAACAGGACGCCTTTCGTTAAGGACGACGACTTATCGGTATGTTAGGCCGCGAGGCGAATAAGTCGGGCCCGGAAGCCGAGGGGATCCGATCAACCGACAGCAACGCGGCGTGGCCATGCGAGACGACGGGGGCAAATCCTCCAGCAATTCTTTTGACGACAGTCGGTCGTTATCTTCCATTCTGCTCCTTCTTTCGCCGATTCAGCGTACGCGGGCCGCTATTGTGCCGTCGATTGACGATCCCCAGGCAATGAGAATCGCGGTCTACTTTGCTTGGCCCATTGCTCGGAAATGTATTCGGTTTTCGGAGGAATCCTAAGATCAGTTGCTGAGAATTTAAATATTTGTACCAGACTTACTGTGTAGGAGGGACACTTGTGAGTTATTTTGGAGATTAGGGAAGAAACCACTTGATGCTTTTGGACTCAACATTTTTTTACCCTTGGCACTCCGAATTATATTTCAATTTCGTTGGCAGCAGCTCCCAACGCTTTTAAGTGTTTACTTGTATTGGAATATAGGCGGTGGAATAAATGAGCTAGACTTTTCTTTTACCGTTGACTTTAAAAACTTTATTAGAAACACTAGGAAGGGCACGTCTGTTCTGTACGAAAAAAGTAGCTCGAATGAAAGAATGTGAAGAATTTCGTTACTGAACTATGGACCCTATCGATCCCATACTTTGTCTAAACAAGCCAAGATGGGACGCAGCTGCACCCTCTTGACTTGTGTCTAGGAACGAAACCCAAACGCGCATAGATGGTTTTTGTAACGAAGATTTTCTCTTTTAGTGAAGAGAAAATCCAACAGCTTGAAATTTAATTTAACTTAAAAATAAAGGAATTTAAAGAAAGAAAGAAATAAACAAATTTTCTTAAATACGAGTTTCATTCACATTATTGTTGTATTTTGTAATTTTCATGTGTATGATATCTTTTGAAACAATTTCCAAAATGCAATCTTGGTTTTCTTTTCCACGTTTCACAAAAATAATTGGTTTCTCTTCTTCCTTTAGGTATCTTTATATTCGAGCAAATTGCACAATCCTTGTGCTTTCCTTCGGGATCTACGAAAATGATACAAGGCTTACCATCTAAACGATCGTTTTTATCATATGTTTCAGGCCTTCTCTATCGATTTGGACACGAAAGAATGTCGAGTGGTACTCGGAAAAGGAGCTCCTGAAATAAAAACTGATGTCGAGTCACACTCGACATAGTAGTGCAAAGGGTTAAGGGATACCGACCAGCAATTGGAGTAGAATTTTAATTGCTGAATGAGAGTCGTTATTATATGACGTGAATAAATTGAAGGGTACTGAGAATTTTAATTAAATTTGTAAAGTAATCAGATTTTTGAAAGGTTCATCTTGTTGTATATTTGTATCAATCGAAAGCAAATAAGACATTAATATAAATAAAATTAGAATCTTACCTGATACTCTAATTAATAAGTAATGGTTAAATAATAAATACAACGTACAATAAAGTGTCTGATAGTTTAATACTCCCAGTTTCTGCACCCGAAACGCCGCGAGTTACAAGTAAAAACAACTCGTTACGTAAATTCGAAAGTTTCCACAAGTGTTGCGATCATCCAAGTAACGAGTGAAAAAATAAACGCTTGTCCCGGCGTGTTCTCTTCTGCGAGGAAATTTTTAAGTTCGGGGAGTTTGCGCGAGGTAGAGCAATGGAACGGTAAAGTTCCTGTACGGAATAAAGTTTCTTCCGTCGAGTGTAGCAGAAAATCTGAAGTTTCCTAGCCTGCGGAGTGAAACGAACTGCAAATGTTCGATACTCTAATCATTACTGCAGACGTCACTGGATCAGTATACATTTATTCAATAAAACTCTCGGTTTAAACAATTCTCAACATAAATATGTAATTTGTAAAGCATTTGTGACATTGTTCTGTTAGGATTCCTTACAGCCGCCATAGAATTAATTCCTCAAAAGGGCACGCCCACTGTCAAATGAATTAGGTCTGCACTAGGTCTGACAAATGCAACAAAAGATGCTCTTTCAAACCAAGAATTCTAAATTACGACTCCGAAAGCCTCGCATTCCCCATTCAGATATTCCCTCTTCTGGACGATTCTCGCTAAAAAATCCCTGCAACCTTTAATCCCCTCCATACTCTCAAGTCGCGCGTTAGAAGAGACGGAAATTGAAACGCGAGTAAAAAACAGGCACGGCTTTCCGATTCATTTATCGACTTGTTCGCGCAGTCCAAGAAGAACCACGAAGTCGATTCTTGGGGGCGAAGTGCCTTGCTATACTTTCTTCAAGGTCTGACGCTCGACAAAGGTGAGATAAGTTTCCGTCGAGTGACTCGCCTCGTTGCAAGATCTCCTGCAAAAAGTTCACCAGCGGAGGGGGAGGGTGTAAGAGATGCTCGACGAGAGGGAAGGGAGTCGAGGTCGTCGTCGAGAGTGGCAATGGGAGCAGGGTTAAAGGTGAAACTGCGGAGGCAGTACAGTGACGAAGCGACCCTCGATGAAAACGGACCAGCGGCGGAACGGGATGGAAACAAGATGAAGGGAAAAAGAGAGAAACACGAGGTGGCCGTGTGTGTTTCAGCGATAGTCGGAAATTCTCTTTCTAGGTGCACGCGGACTACTCTGCCAATTGGACGGAAGAGAATTACACCTCGCGGCAACAGCGTTAGCTCCACGAACCGCGGAATGCCAACAAGGGATCGGTGATTCGATCGATTCGGGGGCCTGATCGATGACGACCACGGGATAAACTTATTAGTTCCGTAGGTTAAGCAATTACCATGGCAGAGAAAGATTAGAGGAAGGGCTGGAGATTAAAGAGCCCGTTCCTCTTTCCGCTTTTGTCGGCTTCTGGTGTACATGAAATGGAAACGCGTTGTCGAATCTCGAACGGAAATCGACTGGGTGGTCCTCGTGGATAACGTGAATCGAAGAGTGATGGATCGAGTGCGTGTGACTCGACTGGTAGAATCGTAGAGTACGTTCTGGATGTTTATATATTTAATTGTTTCTTGAAGAATGTCACCTCAAAATGAAATGAATGTAAAATTTTTTTTTTATCGATAGACATAAATAGAAGTGATTAGCTCTGTTAGTAAGATAGGTTGCATTTAGTAAGCTGGAACCGTGTCTTAATAAATCTTACGGGCAACTGCGGTATTACCCGTAGGAAGAAAGTTCTTAGAAGAAATTGCGAGTGGCATTGATGGGCGAATGCTACGGCATTGTCGTTTTTATTTTCATGTAGTCCCAATAGAGTTACAATGGTCGATAAAAAGAGATTGAAACGAATGGGGGAATGGGAATATAAGAACTTTTCATGATACTTGTGATCATGAAGGTAAGATGACGTGTAAATTTCTTTTAAGTGATTTAAAGATTAATTTGTAAATATACTGTCAAATTTTTGAAACAGTCACCGCTTCAACAATTGTTTTCAAAAACTGTGTCAGAAGTTTTACGAACACTCGAGACATTTTAAAGAGAACTTCGAAACGCACGAGTCAAAATGGCTGGCTCGTTCTAGAGTTGAGAGTACCTATTTTATGGAGGCGCAAAAGTGGAACGAGCAACGACATAGAATCGTGCACGAGTTCTCAGGAGTGCTCAGGAATGGGTGTATCGAGTGGCTGACAGAGAGGAGTCTCTCTTGGTATCCATCAGCTCCATTCAGGATAATATCCGAGTGCGTCTGACAGTGCGGCTTAACGCTGATGTATCGAGGCATTTCTCAGCAGCCCTCCCTTCTACCAACGAGTTTTACCGCGACTTTCTCTGATAAACGCTATCGAACGTAAAATTAATTAACAGAATTAGTCGACTTCTGACAAATCTAGAGGAAATAATTCTCCCAAACTTCAATTACTTGGGACAGAGGCGTGCTTTGCAATTAATTGGAAAGTTAACAAACGGGGACGTCAGCTTTCAGCAGAACGCTGTAAACTACTAGCATGGGTTAAGATAGGATAACCTAATTTCAACAGTAGCATAGGTATCGACTATATTAATTTACTTCGAAAAATTCTGTTACGTTTCTACTCTTCTGAAATCATTTTGTTTTTTCTTACATATTTAACCCTTTGGCCTACGATTTATTGGAAGATCGTGCGTGCCATAGTCAAGTATAAAATTCCTTACGCACTTTCATACAAACTGTCTGACTCGTGCTTATTGTTAGATATTGGTCCAAATATATGCATCTTTAAGTACCTGGATTTTTTGTATAAGTCTTTTTGCTTCGTTTTCAAAGTATGTATAGCGTGGCACGTAATTCCTCTGGTTTAGAGTATCGTCGCACTGTTCAAAGTTTTAAGGACAATAGTACAGTAAAGACATAAGACCGTTTGGCGGAAACCAGATCCTTTTTGGAAAACTTAGCGACTCACGTCGAGTCTAGGGAATGCGAACGAGCCGTAACCATTAAAAGCGAGTGTAAGGAAGTAGAACAGAATAAAAGGTACAGTAAAAGGGAAACTCGAAGCAACCACGAAGGAAATTTTAAGGTTGCGCCAAGTCAGATCGTTACGAATATGAACGCTCCGAGAAACAAGAAGTTGCGAGATATTACAAATACAGTTGAACCTTCATTCTGTAAAGTAATATAAAGTTCAGTTTACGGAGATGATTCTACGATTTACAATTTTAAATAAAAAAACTTAGTTTTTCTTTCATTAATCATACCTTTACTGCTCGTCCAAATTGTTGAATAAATTTTAGACGAATTGTATTAGAGTCAATCTGTTTAATTTGACCATTTATCACACTGGCGGGTAATTTTGACCTGTCGATTTACCATCGTTTATTCTTTTCCATTCGCCCACACAGCGAGACACGGGTTGATAAAAATCATGAATCATATTGCGAGGCTTTGTTCTTTTAGCCCTGCTCTATATTCCGTTCCCCATTCTTCTCTTGACTTGCCTTGCATCTGGGTTACGAGGTCTTGGTACAGGACAGCTTTTTCTCCACTTGATGTAAGTGTCGTTGCTCTTTTTACGA